TCTCTCACTCTGCCCTGAATCTGACTCGGAGAGGCTACTGCTCTTCTCTCTCTCCACACCCGTGGGACAGGGACCCTGCAGGTTCAGTTCCTTTGTATCTGTATTTTTGAGTCATGGGATCTGAACACATGGATTCTTATTCCTACCCAGTTTTCTAGTCCTGTGTATTTTTTCTTCCTATTGGTTTATTGGTTGGGTTATCATTTTAGAGATCTAGTTTAGCAAGAAGCAACATGAATTCCTTTGAAAATTCAAACGCCTGTTTAAAAATTAGCATCGGTGCCAATGAAATAGTTAAACAGTTGCTATTTTAGCTCCCAAAGGAAGTAGTGAGAGGTGAGACCCAGTGAAAGTTGCCTTTTAACTGGAGCATGCCCTGGGCATCTGTCATGTTTAATAATGCTTTTGACCTTTAGGAGTATTGAACTTGGAATTTCTCTCAGGTCATTTTGGGGGGCATTGTCACACACTCTGTGTCAGCATTGTTTCCAAAGATATGTCACACCAGATCATGGATCTTTGAGGTTAATTCATTAGAGAAATTTGTTTTAGCACTCAAATTGAGTTTTTGCTGTATGGGAGATAAAATATCAATGTGGTTCACTAGATTTCTGAGTCATAGGCTACTTAGTCTTTGACATAATAGTTGGAGGCATTCTGTCTTTGGGTCAGCTTTTTTCTAGGTGAATCTTACATCTCATGACTAAAACTGCATATACATACACAAAGGTGTTTAGGAAACTTAGGCTCATTCTTGCCCATTTCCAGAGAAGTGCCATCTTATTTTTTGCTGCTGCTAAGGTAGGTGGGTTAGTAACATTATTACTTATTGACAGATGTTTTTCTCAGCCAGGAGTGGTGATAAGCTTTATCTGTAAAAGGCCAGATAGGAAATGTTTTCAGCTTTGTCTTCTCTGTGGTACCTCCTTGACTTGGTCATAGACAGTCCGTGGTAGCATGGCTGTTTTCCAGTAAAACTTTACTTACAGAATTATAGGGTAGGATATATATCGCCTGTGGGCTTCTAGTCTGCTGACTGATACAAACTGTGGAGGATTATTACCATGAAAGAGTCACTCCAAAGCTCTCTTTCCTTCTTCACCCTTCTTCACTTGGCCTCATGCCTCTGAGAGGGTTGTGTGGTGGGCAGAGTTAGTGGGGAATTGCTTTTTTCTTCTCCTGTATGGTTTTGAGCTGGTGAGTGTTTTACGTATTTATATCTACAGCTGTGCCTATCTCTCTCTCTGTAACAACCAATCCACCCCCCCCCCCATAGTTTTTGTATAGTGCACTAATAGGTAGGTATTCCTTTTGAGAACTTATTCTCACTGATGACCCTTGAGGATTTTTATGATATGTTTGGATTTACATATAGGAGGAATTAAATGTTTGGTTTGGTTTTTTTTTTAGCTTATTTTTTTCTTTGGCAGTTAGCTTATACCTATAAAGAATATTTGAAAGGTTAAATGTGCATAATAAAAAACATTAAAGTTTGTGTCCTAATTTTTCATGTGGGTCTTTTTTTTTTTTCTTTTTAATGTTGCAATAAAATATTCAGGACAGCAGAATAGCCTTTTTAAAAATCTCTTTTTAATGAAAAGTATGACTTTTCTGTTTAATTTAGTATTTAACAGCTAAGTATTGATATTGGCAAATACTTTAGTGTTTGTTGCTGATGAAATAAAACATTTGATACCCACATAAGCAAAGAAACCTTGCCCAAATAAAAATTAGTCCATAGTCACAGATGACATTGGCTGATCCTAATCATCAGCTTTTTAATAGTAGACTTTTGCTCACAGTGCATCGTGGGAACTGAGTGGGGATGGCTGCATGCCAGCCTTTCTTCACCATTGAGAGAACACAGAACTCATCTGATTGACAGTGGTTCTTAGAAGCCCTTATATTAAAGGACATTATTATTATTACCAAGACAATATTATCCATACAATTTTTAAGAAGCATTATTACTTATTGACAGATCTGTTTGTATCCAAATAGTAGTAATGTTTCAGATTTTGAGAGTAGGATTTGAGGGTTTATGTTACAACCTAAACTAATGTGATATGTATGTATCATTTGTATTTGCTCTTAGTTTAGTTGGTGCATTTCTGGCTAAATTACTATAAAATTGTCTGGGGTTTCTGCCCCTTTGTGTCCTTTCCACAACTGCTTTGTTATTACTGTAAAATATAGTACGTTCTCGCTGCAGTCATTAAATCCAATTCTATCTTCAGTAGTTGACCGAACAAAAGAGTTAGTGGGGAATTGCTTTTTTCTTTCCTCTATTATTTTGATCTGGTATATCTTTATATCCATTGGTAGACATACATTATGTAATTCGTTGTGGGTACATACCTCTGATCATTTATATTTTATTTTACTGTGATTATGACTAAGTAATTTCACTTCACTGAGAGTAGACTGCTCTTGCAGAAAAACTAGCCAGCTGGCTTCTTTCAATTCTTACTATCAAAAATTCCCAGCTGTGTTACTTAAGGCGAGCTATTTAATCTTTTAGGGTGTTAGTTTCCATATATCTGTCATATCAAGGTAATAGTTGTCCTGCTTACTTACAGGATTATTCTCGTAAGAGTAAAGAGAGGTAATATAGTGCTTTGAAAATTTTACAGTGGTCTGCAAATGTAGGAGTATCAACTGTTATTAGGATGGGCTATATATAATAAAAACCTAAATCACAGTGGTAAAAAGTCTGTACTCTCATGTAAAACAAGGTGTCTTCAAGGGTATGCCATCCAAGGTTGGTAGAGGGACTGTGATTCTCAGGCATCTTGCTTGTTTCCTGCCTTTGGCTGCTTTGTTCTTACTGTATGGTTTCCATTCTCAGGGTTTCCTTGTGGCCACAGATGGCCCTTGCAGCCAGAGCTGTCAGATTCATGCTCTAGGCCAGTGTTATTCAGATCATGGCCCAGGGCATGAACTACTTGTTACTAGTCTATCATGAGAGAAGTATAGAAACTGAAAGTAACCATTTAGAGATTTTTTATAGCTGTTCTACATTGCTGCAGCATCTTATTTGTGTTTTATAAAAGTACTACTCTGGAGTGGATTGAGGCCAGGTGGTTCTCCACCACAGCCAGCTGAAGGAGGAGGGCATATAGGCAAAAGTCAAGATTGCCCATTCCAGAGCATCTCTAGTAGCCCCATCTAACAACTTCAGTTTACACAGATTTTCCAGGGAGGCTGCCGTTGTTTTGGTTGTGTTCCAGTAATGGAGGGGTTCTGTTACTAAGGAAAATGGGAGAACGGCAGTAGAGTAGGCAACCAGCAATCTCTGCCCCAGTTGGACAGGTCTGAAACCTCAGAACCATTCAGCACAGAATCAGATTCACAAAGGCTGCCCAGTTCTTTGGTAGTAATGACCCCAGGGACAGCAGCTATTTCTGGGGGCTAGGAGAACCATTGCATATCTCAGGTGGGAAAACATACTGAGAATATCAAGAGCAGAGTAAAATATAAGAGATTATATAGTTACCTTTCATAGAAAGGAACATTTTTAACAGATTTTACATTTATTTGTATTTTCATAACTTGAAAATAAATTTGTGAATTTAGTTACAGTTCCTCATCTTAAACCAAGATGGATTATCTTCATGCAAATATGATTAAGTGTGATTCATCTAGGATAAGGTATGGAAGTAGAGGGGTGTTTAGCTGGCTCAGTCAGTAGAGCATGCCACTCTTGATCTCAGGGTCTTGAGTTCAAGCCTCATATTGGGTGTAGAGCTTACTTAAAAAAAAGGTATGGAAGTAGAGCTCTTTGAAAAGATGACTTTTAAAAGGTACCTTTTTGTTGGTTTGGAATTAGCATGATCCTCTTTGATATGTTGTGTGTAAACACATGTTGTAGGGTACAAGTTGTAGGGAGGTTTTTAAGAGACAGGTTTAACAAGGATGAAGTAGCTTGTGATTTAGTTGAATTTTATTTGTGTTTTCAAATCTTAATTTCATTATTACATCAGTATTAAGTATGATAAAATGTCTTCACCATGAATGTAATACTTCACATTGTGGCATTGCTGTTTTTTCCCCCTAGTATAAAAGTCTTTGTTTCCTTCTGGTGTGTTAAACCAGTGTATGTTAAACCTTATTATGTAGCATTTGGTACTAGGCATCTTTAGAGGAAGGGATTACAAATGATGGCTGCATCTTTAAGAAAAAATCCAAGTTTTTACCTTCATCATGTGCAAATATTTGTGGGAGGCACAGGGCATAAGTAGATGTCTTTAAGGTAACTCAGAAGCAATGTAGTTGCTGCAGTGTCTGTGCATTAGAGAGGAAGGACAAAATGGTTGAACCTGTCCATTGGTAAGGTAGGGAGGAGGCATCCTGCTGAACCGGGTGGTTTGGAGTTTGCTTTTATAGATAAGGGGCAGTGGAAGGGAGAGAAGAGTGAGTTCTAGATGGAGAAAACTTTTACCACCAACTGCTTGTTGGTTCAGAGTGGTGTTTGTCTTTTGTAGTTCTCATCATATGGATGATATTTAGTCATAGTGATGGGATTTGGAATGTGGGAAGATTGTGGGCAGTGTCCATTAATTAGCTTGGTAGGCAGTTTTGCAGTGAAAATGATGATTGTGCTTGGCTTTTCAATTAAAGGCATTAATTGGCATTTTATTTTTTTCTCTTAGTGAAGATAATGCTGATGGTCATTTGCCATTCAGTCACTGAGAAAAACCTACCTTGGTCACAAATGGTCAGTGACTGCTGGTCGGGTCAGGACTCTTCCTGCTTTTAGACTGTCTTTTTCTTGACCATTTCATTTGAAGACTATATGTATCTTTCCTTCTTGTTTTATCCCAGAAAAGCCTCTTCTCGCCACCCAGTTATTCAGAGAGAAAAACTTGCCTTATCTGCCAGTCCAGGTGGCTTGATCTTTACTTTCTTGCTGCCCTATGGAAGTTGGTATAAGATGTAGTGCATCTGATGACAACACCATGGGACTCTCTTGGCAGCCTTTTCTTCAGAGTCTCAGTTAGAAGATGTCTGCTGGTTTGTCCCTTAATAGTGAGCAAACATTTGGAAAGCTTATGCTCAGTTCTTAACATGTGAAATAGTTGAATAACTTTTAATTGCTCCAGATACTGACAGAATGATACAGTTGAGTCAGGATAGTTTGGAGACTAATTGGTTGGCAGCTCTTTCTACTCAGCAGTACTTCCACTGTTTCTAAGGAAAGAAACTGCTAGAGGATTCTGGGTGAGCCCAGGCATGTGGTCAGTGGCAGAGAAGCAGCAACTGTGACTCAACATCACTGAGGAGGCTGCAGGAGTGGGAAGTCCAGTAAAAGTGGAGGAAATGCAATTTGAGGACTAGATGTTCCAGACTAGCGGATTAACAGTGTGTTTACTGCCTAGAGGCATTGCCTTCATATTTCTTTTCTAAGTGTGAACTAATTAAGATTAGAAAATTTCAGGTTTTACTTTGGAAAGCTTAAAGGCATGCTTTGTGTTCTTTTCTCCAGCAGCATCAGAATCAAAATACCAAATAGACTACCTTGGCCTTTGGGTCAGCATGACCGGTAGGCTGCAAAGTGGGTCACATTTCCCCCTCAGTTTTCAGGGCTTCTCTGGCTTTCTGCTTAATTCTTTACAGTTTCAAGACATTTATTTCATGAGTTAATTTACCCTCCCTAAATGGGTTTTAAATTTCTTGAGGGAACAGTCTCTGTTTTGAACATTTCTGGTATTCTCTATGGTCCGTAGTACTGTTTCATGTGGATTGTAGGCTATTTGTTTCTGGATTTGGTGGATTTGCTGTGTATCTCCAAGTGACTGGTTCCTCATCCTTCAGGTCTCAGCACAGATGTCACCTCCTCTGACTACCTCTGAAGGTAAAAACCTCTGACGGTTTTTCTGACTACCTGCCCATGGCCTCATCCTGTTTTGTCCTTAGTCATTTTTTTAAGATAATTGCCCAGTCTTAATGTCTTTGTTTTTATCACACTGATTATCGTCTGAAATCCCTTGGTGGTTTATTTGGTTACTTGTTTTCCTTTCCCCAAGGGTAGGACTTGGGCAAGGGTGACCCAAAGTGGTGGTTTTTGAGCTAGGCCTCGAAGGATTGGAAGGATTTGACTGGAAAGCTCTGGTTAGCAGAGCTTTAGCTTGAGCCTTTTTAGACAAAGGATAGAGGCAGAATATTTTTGTTGAATATTGGAATCTAGTTTGGTTTGGTGATGGCAGTGGTTGATGATAGAGCTGGAAAGATATGTCTGGTTCTGGAAGCCATGCTGAGAAACTGGATTTCATTTGTTAGATGGTGGGGAACCATGGATGGTTTTTTTAGCAGTTTGAGTGCATGATCAGAACTGTGCTTTGAGAAAATCAGATTAGAGATAGAAGGAACTCATTGGAAAGCTGCTAAAATAGTTTAGATGAACCAAAGTGAGGGCCTGATCTTGGACACTATTAGTGAGAGGGAGGGAGGACCTTGCTTAAGTTATTAAGCAGCATTTCTGTGCTGTGCAGTGAAAGCAAATGTCCTTGCTGCCAGTTTATATTGGTAGGTAGAAATGATTCTGTTTTTGCAGATTTTGAATGGAGACTCAGAGAATTTAGGTCTCTGTAATTTTAAATCCTGTGCTTTTTTCCTATAGAATAGTCAGTAGAGGACAGATGAGAAAGACTATGGAGTCAGGATGTCCAGGATTCTTTGATCACTGACTGGCTGTTAGGTGTATGAGAGAAGATGAGGAATCCTGTAATAAAGGGTTTTGAGGCTGAGAGCCTGGGACAAGGTTTGTTCCATCAGAAGCTGTGGGAATTGTTATGAGAAAATAATTTAGTGCTAGTTCTCTCACAAGTTTTGTTTTACGTGTTTATATTTCAAAATTATTCTTAAATTTTAGTTTCCTGGCCTGTATCCTTACTCTAAGGATGCCATTCTGATGCCAAGGCTACAAAGAGATTGTCTATTATATGCAAATTAGCTATTCCTTCCTTTTGTAGAATCCTGTGATTCTACAAAATTCCAGTTGCTTTCTCATTTCATGCTTGTCTGTATTTTCTTATATACATTTTCTAATTTAGTTCTTTTGGTTTGGTTGCTGTTTTGTCTTATAACTAGCAACCACATAATTATGAACTGTGTAAATTTGTGAACATTGTTAAAACGCATCTTTTATCTGCTACATGTAGTGCATCTGTAGCATCTGGTCTCCAGCTGAAATCTGTCCAATGCCTGAAGTTCACTTACCTTTATCAGAGAAGACTTGTCCTTTAGGTGTACTCTCCTTCTCCTGAGTTTCCTTCTCTGGTTACCAGAGCTTTGCCTGATAGCTTTTCTTACATAGAGTGCTGGTGAGGTGTGTTATTAATTTTTTTTTTTAAAGTCCTTACTGAAAAGCACAAATATAAACAACCATGCAAAGCCTCTGTGTAGCTTAATGAATTATTTTAATGTGGAAATCCCTCTCAGGTCAAGAAATAGGACTTTGCCAGCCATCTCTCAAGTTCTTCTGCGATGACAGTCCCTTCCTTCCCTACAGAATTAAGCATAAGCATGGCTCTGACTTTTAAAGTAGTTGTTTATGTTCTTTTATAGTTTTACCTCCCAAGTGTGGCTCTCTGGGCACTAGAGTTTAGTTTTGCTTATGATATGTCTTTTAAATCTATTACAGTCTTTATAGATTTTCTCCTCATCATCCCTTTATTAACACTTTATTTATTGACGAATCCAAGCCATTTGACCTGGAGATTCTCCCACAGTCTGGATGTTACTGATTAAAGATGTGTCACTGTCCTCTGTATTTCCTGCACATTAGTAGCTGGATCTAGAGGTTGAGTCAGACTTGAGTCTGATCCATTTGGGCAGGTTTACGGATGGTGTAATACACTTTCACCATTTATATGTTACATCTGGTTTTTGTTCATTTTTGATATTATACCTATATCTGGTAATTCCTTGGGAGCTGCAAAATTACGAGATTCTAATTCTGTCATTTTGTTTTCATTTATTATCTAGAATAATTTTATATGGCAGTGCTTCATGTCATCTATTTGATTACCCAGTTGTGCAATTTATATTGGAAAGGCAGGATAAAGACTTGATGTTTTTCTTTATTTACCCAGTTTTCAAATAATGCATTAGGTACCCTTAAACCTTTTTTGATGGGTTTCAAATAATTGCAGCTCTTAATCCTTATTGAAGCCCAGATTGCTCCATGGTTGACTAGTAGGAGCCTCTTCCACTTGGCTTCTGAGTGCTTTTGATATGACCCTAGTGGTCTAATAGATGTTTCATCCTCATCTTATGCATTGTAATGTTTCCCACAGCAGACCTGGAGTTAGCATTTCTTCTAGAATCCTTAGTTTCTTTTAATGAGAAATGATGTTTCAAGAGCACAGTCTGGGCCATTTAGATCTCTTTGTTACCAGGTTGGTCATTAATTCTTGATGTTTTGATTCATATATTTTGTGAAAATTTCTAAAATTTCAGTGGACAGAGCTGGGAAATAGCCATTATACCTTACAAATCATACTGAGATATTTTTTAAGAGATTTATTTATTCATTTGAGAAAGAGCCAGAGAGGGAGAGGATGGGGGAGAGGCAGAGGGAGAGAGTCTCAAGCAGACTCCGCTGAGCATGGAGCCTGATACGGGGCTCTGTCCCATGACCCATGAGATGACAACCCGAGCTGAAACCATGAGTCAGATGTCCAACCCACTGAGCCACCCAGGTGCCCTAAGATCGATCTATCTATATATTTTTATATATATCTTTATATATATTTATATCTTTTATAAATATACTTATATATTATGTATATCTTTATGTATATCTTTATATAAGATATAAGCTAGAATAATTTTACATATTCTTCCGCCATGTTTTAAATAATGGTACTTTGTCTACATTTTCCAAGTATGTGTGTGTGTGTGTGTGTGTGTGTGTGTGTATATATATATGTATGTATATATCTTTATATATATATCTTATATATATAAAGTATGTATAGATATTTATATATATATATAAAGATCAATCCATTTATGAGAGAGTCTAGAGTATGTGTTTGGAGGTGGGTAGAGGGACAGGGAGAGAGAAACCCAAGCCAACTCCCTGTTGAGCGCAGAGCCCGATGCAGTTCAATCCCACGACCCTGAGATCATGACCTGAGCCAACACCAGTAGTCAGATGCTCAACCAACACACCACCCAGGTTCACCTCATACTGATCTTTTTCATTCAAATTCAGAATTACAGTTTTTATTTAACCTCATCTTTATTCCATCTGTACCTGCTTTCTTTCATATAGAGATGCCTGGTTCTCAGGGACACAGGAGTGACAGAAGATCCCACAATTATTTTCTTTATTTCACCCTACCCATACAGTAGTCTTAGAGTAACAATACTAATACTGCCATCACCAGTTACAGTTACTGAAAAGAGTTTTAAAAAAATTTTGTTTGCACTCTCCCTATTGAGATTCAAATTCTGTCATTTCATATTCATTTCTAAGCTAGAGAAAAATTTTACATATTCTTCCCCCATGTTTTAAATGAGAGTACTTTGTCTATATTTTCCAAGTCCATATATTTAATCTTCACGTTAGTCCTTATATGGATGTCTTTCTAGTCATTTCAGTTGTCTGAGTTTGTTTTCTAGCAGATTCCTTAGAAAGGAACTTGTAGGAACGCTGTTCTCTGGTTTCTTCAGGTTCAGAACAGGCTGGTTGTGCTCTTGGACTTGCAGGTCAGATTTGCTGGCTTGTGTTGTTTTTTTAACTGATGTGTAGTTGACATACAACATTATGTTAGTTTCAGGTATCAACATAATGATTCAGTATTTGTATATAGTAGAAAATGATCACCATAGTGAGTCTAGTTAAGATCCATCACCATACAGTTTTACAGAATTTTTTTCTTGTGATAAGAACTTAAAGATCTATTCTCTTCCTAACTTTCAGATCTGCAGCACTGTATTAACTATAGTCTTCAAGTCATGTTTTCTTAGCCCAAGTTCCTTCAATATGTAGCTACATTTTCTTCATGCATAAAGCATTGCTGTCAAAGTCTGTTGATAATCTAATTGTCTTTCTCATAATTCACATATTCTTTTTGCCTAGATGCCTAAAGAATTTCTTTTCATTTAAGGTCCAGTAATTTCAGGGGCGCCTGGCTGGCTCATTCGGTAGAGCATGTGACTCCTAATCTTGGGATTGTGAGTTTGAGCCCCACATTGGGTATAGAGATTACTTAAAAAATAAAAATCTTAAAAAATAAAACAAAAACAAATCCAGTAATTTCAGTGTACAATGTGTCTTAGTGTTGGTTTTCTGGACCAGTATGCTTTAAGTATACTGTGTGCTCCTGAAGTATGAAGTTTCAAATCTTTTTATTTCAGGAAAATTTTCTTGGATTATAGTTTTTAGTATTTGTTCTTACACTTAAATCTCGTTTTGTTTTTCAGGAGCTCCTGTATCTGTCTGCTAGTTGTTCCTTGCCTGTCTTTAGTATTTGTCACTTTCTCTTGAATCCTTTTTATGTTTTTTTCTTTTAAAAGTTTTCTTCTTTTCACTTTATTTTTCTCCTTGTAAGGCATTGTTAGCTATGTTTATTCACTTTTGTATTCCTTTTGGATTAGTCTTCATTTCTTAAATAATTGGTCTGGCATGTTGTTTCTGAGTTTTCCTGAGTCTGACTGAGATTGCTCCCTAATGTCTTGTATCTTTTATTTAATGGTATACTTTAACTTGTTTTGTAACAGCACGATCCGGTTTTGGCTGTATGTTGTGTGTGTGCATTTTTTCCTGTGCTTTCAGTGACTGTGGAGATGTTATTCAGCTCCTCCTTTTTTTTCCTGTTAGTAACACTGTATGAAGTTTATCCTCAAGTACTTTTCTTTTGTTTATTTTTATGCAAATTTAATTTTTCATGAACTTTCAGAAGGAGATGTGGTTCAATGGAGTTTCTTTCTTTTAACTTCACAGAACAACTTCTTCCCTGTTACATTTGTAATTGTCCCATTCCCTGTAGCTTCCCCTCTGTCACTGCTCCTTGTCCTGGCAGGGCGCTGTGGTGACCTTTTATGAGTTCACAGGTGGTTAGACTTCTTGGCCTTCTCTGGCCTCCTCGTACTAACTTGTTGTCCACATGGTCAGAACTCTTGCAGTCTCCAGCTGCTGTTCTCACCTTGATCTACCTCATTGCCTGTTAGCTGTTTTGAGATCCTCCTCATCTTAGGTAGGCTAGATACCCCATTCATTCCTTCTGTTTTTCTCCCTTGCAGACGCTGATAACCACAGGTCATATTGGTTTATGCCCCCCCCCCCCCCGTTTATAAAGATATTGGTTTATGCCCACTGGTTTATAAAGATACCTTGTTTCCTCGTTTTGTTGTACTGTCAGTGGGAGTTTGATTTGATTCTCTAGTTGGATCTGTTTTTATGTGCGGATCTAGGAAGATCCATAATCGATGCTGCCATCTTCTCAGAATTCCTGGTATGTTAGTTTTTATTGAAATGATTTTCTGCTGAGCCCCAGGACCACAAACCCATGGATTCTTAAATCGTGACCTGCTATTTGTCATGACTGCCACTGTTCTTGTATAAAGCTTGAGGGAGGGATAGGTACAGAAGACAAGACCATACAATATTGGTTCAGCACATGTCAGAGGTACAGATACTCAGTTTTCTTATAAAAATTTTTTTAGGCCAGGTTCAGGCATACAGGAGGTTTCCTTTGTCTTGTCTTCCTAAATAGAAACGAAGATTGGCCTGTGAAATCTCAATTTGCACCACTGATTGTGAGAATATGCTTTTCTCCCTTCACCTTCAACCCTTCCTCCCCCATAGTATATGTTTTAAAAAAGCTTTGAGTTTTCCCTGTTGGTGTATCCCTTACGGAATAATCCTAAACATGTTAATTTTTCAGCCAAGGGAGCAACCATATTGGTGAGTGAGTGGGGTTGGAAATTTAAGGAAATGTTTTGTTTTGTATGAACATGATTTTCGATATATGCATTCATCTTATGTAATCTGTCAGCCAGTAATTATAGCTGAAATTTTATGTTTTGCAAACGTAAGCATTAGCCATTACAAGTGTCAGCAGTTCGGTGTATATGCACAATATTAAACAAGTATATATTTATGAAGTGTAAATACATAATTCAAATGGGAAAAATCTCAATGTATAATCATTAGGTCAATATTATATTTATTTTATGTAAATATAAAGTATGCTAATAAGAGGAAATGATACTTTCCAGTATTGATGATACCATACAAAGGGAGATTAAAATGCCAGTGGTCTCATGGGCTAAAATAAACCTTTTAGTTCTTAAATGCAAATTTAAATGAATCCACATATGTAGTATCAAGCTGTTTTCAAAGGGAGAAAGAAAGTCTTTTCAACAGGCTTGAACAACTAGATATTCATATGGCAAAAACAAAAGACAACACACAACCCCATATTATGCCACACCCAAGAATTAATTTGAGATGGCTTGTTGCCCTAAACATAAGGTAAAAATTATAAATCTTCAAGAAGAAAACAGGAGAGTATCTTTACAGTCTTGATGTGGACAAAGATTTGTTATAGAGGAGATAGAAAGTATAACCATAAAAGGAAAAAAATTGAATTAATCAAGAGACATTGTTGAGAATGTTCATA